TATTTAGACAAAATAATACTTCATTATACTTTTCTAAATATTTTAATTAATAATAATTTTTCACTGAATTTTTCTACTCTCTTAATAAAATATTATCGAAATATTAATGAAATTATAATGAAATTTTAATGAAATTGGGTCAAAATTGTGAATGCTTTTCAAACATATTTCAGCAAAAGTTCATTATATTTTCAATGAATTATTTCCATCAGATACAAATATCTCAATTGAGATCTTACATGCGAAATTTTGCGGAAACCTCAACTGAGAATTCAATTGAGAATTTAATTGAGAATTCAATTGGGAATTCAATTGTGATCTCAATAGAAATTTTTCAGTAGGGATGACATCAATATAACGTTATTTAGAGAACTTACATATGACAGTAATTAGTTGATCACTTGACATCATTAGTACGAACATGTTTAAACTGTAACGTCAAAATACAACATCAAAAAAAGACATGTGTCTGTTACCCGGAATGTGACTACAGATGAGATAAAGATGGGCATACGATGAAATAAAAAAGACCGTCAATAACGCGAAAAATGGAATATCAGATTTTTTTAAACACAGTTTAAACAAAATAATTAAATTTCTTGAGTAAAATATAACTATTATCTAAGAAAATTTTTTTCAAACAACAAAATTAAATGAAAAGTCAATCGTATTTATTAAATGAAACATTAGTTTGTTTGGGCCATTCCAATGATCATAATTTGTTTGAATTTAATAAAATTTATTAAATTTAGAAAAATCTTTTCTCTATGTATACAGTCCGTGGAAAACTATGAAGTATCTTTGATAATGTAAACTATGTGTGCATGTCCTGAGAAATTAAAGTACTTAAATCTGATTGAGATTGTCTTTTTCAAGATAAAGATTATGTTTTTCAGGAGTTTTTTAATGATAATTTTAAGGAGTTTTAATGATAATTTTTATGCATGTTCACCTTTTCTGTGAAGATAATATTTACGTTTTAAAGAAGTATTGTCAGTAGAGATTAGTGAAGGACTGAAATCTAAATGACGTGTGGTTGGTACTTGGGAGTTTGGTACGCGTTATTACATCTTATCAAATTCAACAGTCTTAAAAACTTGCGAATACGTACATGAAGATGAGTGTCCTTCCGTTTTGTAGTCGTTTGGATAGCGACGTATTGGTTGTCCTCTTTGAGTAGAACAATCATTCTGTTGCTCCATTTCTTTGTTTTCCTTAGAGTTTTACTTGTTATATAGTAAAAACTGTTAGTGCGAAAATGAACAAGAAATCAGACTTATATAAAAATGTATATTGAGTTTTAACTATTGATCTACTTGCACACAATAATCTTCTTACTTCTTTGTTATTCAAAATCTTAAGTTATTACATATACATACAATTTGAAGCTAGATAATATTTATAACGCACCTGTGATATATTATAATCGCGAAAACGAATAATTCACTGAGTCCATTCCCAGATAGCCAAATCTGCGCGAACAGATTTCGAGCAGAGCTTGCTATCAATTTTTGATGGCAAATAGATAACAAATTTGATGCAGGATTTGTTATATCAAATCTTGCTGCCAAATTGCCACTAGATATGCGGCAGAGCTTGTTGTCGGATAATTGCTGCAGATTTGCAGCAAAAACCGCGCAGAGCTTGTAGCCATTTGACGGCAGATTGACGGCAGAAACCGCGCAGACCTTGCTGCGCTGCAAGCTTTGCACGGTTTTTGCTGCAAATTTGGCACCAATTGCCCGACAGCAAGATCTGTCGCCAAAACCGTAGCCTAATGTAGACACAGATGGCTATGGTTTTGCTGTAGGTTTTTGATCAAATTTGCTGCCAATCTGCGCGCAGTCTGCGCTCAATTTGCTTACTGGGTTGTTATATTTCTTTTACATTTTTAGTCCAACACTATTAAGAAAAATCCGTTATCAACAAAATTCCTAGTTTCTTCATTTTCACTTGATTTTGATCTCGACGTGTGCCACTGCCTTGTTCTACTGCCATCTGAACTGTACAGCAGCAGGAGTTATTGATTATTTTCTCGTAGCTATAGAACACGCGGCTACAGTTCGCCTGATTTCTCGCGCGTTTCTACTAACTAAAACTAAGAAATCGAAGCAATAATAATATAAGATTTCACTATTCATGATATTTAGGTAAAGAATAATTAAAGCAATGTGTATTTTTTGTTCTTTTTTATATATAGTTACTTTTAACTTTACATCAATGTAAATTATATGTAAAATTTATATGTAAAGTTTTACAATGTTCTTTTTTCACCTCTACATATTAGTTACTTGAAAAATATTGCATCACTTCTCTGAGTAATTAACAGTAATAACAAAAATACTCACATATGATGTGTAGAATTAAAATATTCTAATGATTTTAAGTAGAAAGTATAATCCGCATATATGTATATATATAAATTTTTTTTTAGATATATTATTACGTAATATAAAAGCAATACATTTTTCTCTGCTTATTATATTTATTCTTACAGAATTACACGTTAAACATAAATTATAAGTAAGATAACATTTGTCATTTGTCAAAGTTTGCCAGTTGAACTAAAATTGGAAAATATATAGTGTATCATCATGCACTACTCCCGATAGAAAATTATAATCCATTTCGTTAATATAAAATGAACGACCTAGTGATGTGAGAACAGTTTATCTGCGATATCAAAAAAACTGTTACATTTGATCTTTTATTAGTTATACTTGACATGTTTGCGCGTAGTCATAGAGAATTCAATTATCATCAGAATTGATAATTTATATCAAATCCGCCACGTTCATCGGCATCTCGTCGATTTGTGTAGAGTAATACTGTTCAATATCCCGCAGAATTCTTATGTCGTCGGTCTTCACAAAGTTAATAGATACACCTTTGCGACCGAAACGTCCCGATCGACCTATTCTGTGAATATACAATTCACGATTATTCGGTAGATCGTAATTGATCACGAGAGAAACTTGCTGAACGTCGATCCCTCTTGCCCATACATCAGTTGTAATCAATACACGACTGTAAAAAAAAATATATACGTATAAGATAAGATTTTCTTGATATAATAAGTATTATCTTAGATATCCTGTTTCCGTAAAACTTTTGTCATACCTTGCACCGGATCGAAACTCTTTCATTATGTTGTCTCGCTCTTTCTGCGGCATATCTCCATGCATAGAACACACAGTGAAATTCGCTTCCCGCATTTTTTCCGTCAGCCAGTCCACCTTACGTTTAGTGTTACAGAATATCACTGCTTGTGTTATCGTTAGTGTATCATACAAATCACATAATGTGTCGAACTTCCATTCCTCTCGTTCAACAGCGACAAAGAACTGTTTGATCCCTTCTAACGTCAATTCATCACTGGAAAGAATATAATAAATTAACATTAAAATAATTAATGATAATTAAGAAATTAAATTGATGCTAACACTGAGATAAATGATACTTACCGTTTTACCAGGATACGAATAGGATCTGTCATGAATTTACTGGTCATCTCTAGAATTTCATGTGGTAAAGTAGCCGATACTAAGACGACTTGCGTCGCCGGTGGTAAATATCGATATACGTCGTAAATCTGTTCTTTGAAACCTTTATTCAACATTTCGTCGGATTCGTCTAACACTAACATTTTTATAGCTCGTGTTCTAAGTACACGTCTTTTGATCATATCTAGAAAAATATTATATGTTATACGAATATACAGTACATATATACATATATGTGTGTGTGTGTGTGTGTGTGTGTGTGTGTGTGTGTGTGTGTGTGGTGTGTATGTGTGTGTGTAATGTATAACAGGATATGTATTATGGAACTGTGCAAAATCGATTCCGATAAGAGTAATTCCGTTTTCCCTAGAAAAGATTCCCTAGAAATAGAAATCTGAAGAATAATGGAATAATTCTAATTGGAATTAATTTCAAAGAATTCCATAATATATGCTCAGCTTTGTATAATATTATATATACAAAGGGTGTACAAAAGGTTTTGTACAAAGAGTGTACAAAAAAAAGAGTTCAAGACTAATAAACAACCATATGACATATAATATATGGACGTAAAAGCTAAAATTAAAAATTAGCTAGGATTAAAAACTAAAATCTCAAATAACAATATATAAACTGTCCCTATATAATAATGACAATCGAATAAAGAATCAAAATGACTCTCTTGGACATCTAAGATAAATCATAAAGTAATTAATTACAATATCATCAATTTTTTCTACAATTTTTTCAGTGTTTTGCTTTAAAAGCGATTAAAAGTTAAAAGGTATGTTTTTTAAAACATTAAATAGAAATGATGACAACAAGACCTTGAAGCAATCAAAGTAATTCAATCGGTTATTCTGACTGATAAATACTTATAAGGTTCATTCATTACTATAGTATTATAAGTTTCCTCTCAGTAATGACATAATAATATCACTACAATATTAAAATAATGAATAAAGTTTATAAGTGCTTAAAACTTATGAGTATAAGCTTACAAGCAAACACCACCCAGTTATATTAATGTGTGTGTGTTATATTGACTTCTAAAATATATGAATTTATTTAAAAAAATTTGAACACCAATAATTTTATGATAATTCCAATTAATTTTTTTTAAATTTCAGCTTACTTATAAATTGGTTGCTTGATTTAAATTTTACTTTTTAATTCTTTTACAAGTATGTAATAGTATGTATAAATATTATATTATGAACTGTATTATTTAATATTCAATACATGATACATACCAAACACACGACCTGGTGTACCCGATACAACATGTTGACCATAGTCAAGTTTTCTGATATCTTCTCCAAGATTTGTACCACCAATACAGGCATGACACTGTACATTCATGAAATCTCCCAAAGCTAGGATAACTTTCTGAATTTGTGTTGCAAGTTCTCGAGTTGGAGACAGTACAAGAACTTGGGTTTCTCTCACTTGTGTGTCCAATGACTGCAATATTGCAATGGAGAATGTAGCAGTCTTACCTGTACCCGATTGTGCCTGAGCTATTACATCTCTGCCCTTCATAATGGGCTTAATGGATCGTTGCTGAATAGCGGAAGGTTTTTCAAAACCTGTATACAAAAGTAAAGATGTAATTCAATCTCTTGATCTGATCAAGCTAGATGTAAATCTAATATAACAAAACAAAAAACAACATTAAGGTTAGTTGATACATTGAGGAAAATGTCACATACCATACGCATAAATTCCGCGTAACAATTCATCACGGAGACCCATGCTATCGAAAGTAGGAATAACTTCGACATCCTCGCTGGTTTCAAACTCGACGTTAGACAAATCTTCGGTTTGCGCTACACGACGTGACTTTATCTCTGCCATTTTATAGGAGCGTAAAAATATCCGTGTATATCTCACGACGACTTACGTTCGTAACCACAATTTATATCACAGATGTCTATGGCCGCGTTCCGTTTCACGAATAATGGCTCCTGCACACAGGACGCGGTAATGCTTGCCGCGCGGCGGAAGTCCGCGTGACAGCCAATCAATATGTTGTTTTTCCGTAAAAGCGAGAAGATTATGGGTGTATATCAGTTGGACACGGGGCAATTGGACACAGTCCAATCACAAGTCGCTGTTCCAAGGGACCCTACAAATGTCTCTAATCACACGGTGCTGTGATTGGCTGTGTCCAAATGCACCGTGTCCAAGTGCACCGCTCCCGAAGATTATTACGGAAAGCAATATATTGATTGGCTGTCGTGTGAACTTTCGCCACGCGGTAAGCATAGAATGGACTGCTAAATGAAGTGGTGGGGGTAGGAATAGACGTAGGCTATTTCACGTGTCGTACGACAAACTTTTTGGATATATTCATTGGTTGACGAACAGAGAACCTAGAAATATTCTATTCGCCGACCAATAAACGTATCCGAAAAGCTTGTCGTACAACACGTGAAATAACACCCGTAGAGTGAGGGTGCGATTATGGCTTCTGCACACAGAACGCGGTAATGCTAGCACGACGGAAGTTCGCGCGACAGCCAATCAATATGCTACTTTCCATAATAAACTTCTAGCTCTTACGGAAACACAACATATTGATTGGCTATCGTGCGGACTTCGGCCGCGCGGCAAGCATTACCGCGTCCTCTGTGCAGGAGCCATCAGGCCCCAAGCTAGACGCGAGAGCAGGATTGAGCACGTATTATACATTGTATACATTGAGATATTATACATTGTATCATACACTATATTGTACAGTATAATACATTTAGTTTTATACATATTATTGTTACGTCCACGATAAATAACTATATAGGGAAATTTGAAAGTAGTGAAATCAGTGACTTACGTGGACGGTCAACAGAGTGATGGCTCCGCTTTTGGGTCACTCTGCTTTTCACCGAGTTTACCCTGGGTCTCGGGAGCCTGGCGAAACGATTGATGAATCTGGCGGAAAATCAGCGGTGCTTGTTCTCCTGGCTCGGCCTCGGATGTTCCGATACCACGCGGGTTGATGCGGCCCGCGATTCAGAATTTGATTTCGCAACGTTTGAAATATGAAGGGTAGGCAAAA